GTTATAAAAACAAATATGAGAAGGTATTTGCAAACAATAGTTCTGAGAAGAGGTCAATATCAAAGTATATAAAGAACTCATACAACTTAACAACAAAAACCCAAACAATCCAATTAAAAAATAGATGGAACTTCTCACATGAAGACACATAAGTGGTCAACAGATATATGAAAAGATGTTCAACCTCACTAGCTTTAGAGAAATGCAAATTAAAACTACAATGAGATACCACTTCAAACCTGTTAGAATGGCTATTATCGACAAGAGAAGCAATAACAAATGTCGGAGAGGTTGTGGAGAAAAAGAAGCCCTCATTCACTGCAGGTGGGAATGTAAATTGATACAACCACTGATGCGTGGGTCACCGGCCAGCAGTGACCACGGAACGCTGCGGATGGCTCGCCGAAAAACATGCGAGAAAAAACACATGCACAGAGACAGACTAGTTTCTGTGGGGAAGTAGGGACGAAATGGCCACCCCCCCTAGTGGGGACCACACTGATTTACCGTCCATACCTGTTTTTATTGGGCTCATTTTGCATAATAATTCAGGTAAAGTACAGTACTCATTAAGCTGTAAGACTTTGAGGAACAAACTAACTTCCTCCTTGGACCTCTTTCATTTAACTGACAGCATTCTAAACAAAGAAGGTTTCACAGTAATTTACATGTTTTTTCTTAGGCCTGATCACCTGGGGAATCTGCCCTTTTCAGCACAGAGCTGCACCACCCTGTCATTGTTTTAGGCTTAGGTGGAGCAAGGGAACTGAGGCAACCAAGAGATAAGGAGATTTTCTCCCAGATGCTGAGAACTCAGGCTATGTCAAAGCCGAGGAGCGAGGGTCCATCACCCCCTTTTGCTGCAGCCCCCCAAGTCCTTCTTTTGGGGGGCCTCCCAAAGTGATCGTGCCTGTCTTAGGTCGTTCCCCCTTGGGGGAATCTTACCCATCTTTGGCTAACCGACCAAGCTTTTTGGGGTTCAGTTATGAATAAAGCAGCAGAAGCAGCATTCCTGACAGGGAGATAAGCTTTTGTCTCCTTGCTGGCTTACGGTTCCAAGGGCGTTCCCTTAGCCTTAGCCTAGGCGGGGGTTTCAGCTTCTGATACCAGTCAGGGTGGTTCCCAACAAACCACTATGGAAATAATATGACAATTCCACAGCAAATTAAGAACAGAGTTACCATTTGATTCAGCAAACTGTCTTCTGAGTATCTACCCCCAAATTTTGAGAACATTTATTTGCAAAGCTATACCCAACCCTATGTTCATTGCAGCATTATTCATGGTGGCCAAGAAGTGGAGGTGTCCTCATGTAGATGATTGAAGAAAGAAGATGGGGTGTGTATGGAATACGTACCCCCAAATGGAATACTACTCAGCATAAAATGGAATACTACTCAGCATAAAAAAGGTGAAATACTGCCATGTGTGACAACAGGGATGGACCTTGAGAATATCATGCTAAGCTAAATAAGACAGAAAAAGCCAAGAACCATATGATTTCACTCATATGTGGGAAAGAAAACTGAAAGTGACACATGAACAAACAAGATAAACAAACAAAAACTAGACACAGACAATAGTATGGTGGTTACCACAGGGAAGAGGGGTAAGGTAGCAAAGGGTAAATGGAATGATGGAAGATCTTTGGGTAATGGACATACATACAATATATGGATGATGTGCCATAGAATTGTATACTTGAAACCTATGTAATTTAATTAACCAATGTCACCCAAAAGTTCAATAAAAAATCCTTATTAATTAAAAAAATTATTTGGATGCATTATTTTCACTGGCTTGTATGGAGCCTGGCATATATCCCTGTATGCATGGGATTGTGTTCCATCTTTCTTTGAAGTGGCCTACCTTTCTTTGGATTTTGAGTTCTGTTGCTCTGTGATTTCAAATATCTGAAGGTTCAAGAAAATTGTGAGTTTTTTGATGCAGCATGTTTTTATTGATCATAAGGTTTTGAGTGGCACTCTTTTCATATTTCTATATTCTAAGTGAAAACTACAAGTCCTGGTAGACATTTTAAATGTATCTGAGTGGAAGGACATCTACATGTCTATTGTCATCTTCCTATAGCTGTATTTCTCAAATCGCAGGCCATGGGCCACTGAATCATAAATATCCAAGATGACTGATAAAGACCAAATGGTATTTTAATTATGAAATGCACCACAGTTTTTTACTCTGATAATGTTAGAGTGGGCCTGAGAAATCTGTATTTTTAAGAGGCTTCAAACCTTCAAAATTTGGGAAATTATTATTCTAAAGATTGAGATGATTATTAATCAAATTGGTGGATGCAGAAAATGGGATAATTTTTAGGAAGTGAGATGTTTGAATGCAGAATTGGCTATCTCAAAGCTGGACAACTCCCTGCTGCCCTTCACCCCAACACACACACACACACACACACACACACACACACACACACACACCTGACTTGACCTGGTCTGCAGAGAACTTTGTTTAATTACCTGCCTGATGTTCTTGATGTCCAATCTCCTGAAACTGTTATCTGACTTTCTAAACTCTATTACTTGGCTAAGTATCTATTTTCTATTTCTGTCATAGCATTTGTCATATTGGTATGGTATAATGTAACTAAATATAGTGTAATGATAAAGAATGTAAATCTGCTGCCAAACTTCCTAAATTCAATCTTAGCTTCATTTTTAACCATTTCTGTGACTGTGGGAAAGTTAACTGATTTCTCTAGCCCTAAGTTTTATTATTTTAAAAAGAAGATACAAATGTTACAAATTTTGCCTAGTTTGTTTGAGAATTTACTGGGTTAATATATGTAAAGAACTCAGAAAGAACTATGAGAAGGTAAGCCCTATATAAGTGTTAGATATCATTATACTGAAAAATTGTTTATATGTTTAAATCAACTTTATCAAGCTACTAGAGCAATATGTTTCCACCCCACTATTAATGTTCACGTATTGCAAAGCCCCCTTTTGTGTGTACCGTTGCCCCTATATGCTAGAGAGAAGCTGTAGTAGATTTTAAAATCTGGTAAGAATAAACTGAATAATTTTAACCTGAGTAATTTTAATTAAGACTTCCTCCCTCTGAAACTCTCCACAAACTTTTAGTGAGACTTTCTAAAAATATCACGTGTTCTCTGTTATTCCTCTATGTGGTAAATCTTCTTATTATGATTAGGAATATATGCTTCACTCTGAGGTTTAGTTAGAGTGCACACTGCCTCTCAAGCCAAACTAAGTCCTCCAGAATAGTCTTCATCAATAAAAAAGGAGATATTTTATAGTTGCAAAATATCAGCTTCTCTCTAGCATATAGTGATAAGGGTATACACAAATGTGGGGTTTACAATACATGAACATCTGCTATACATTTTCTATTCTCAATCTTTTTTATGAATCACATGGGAAAGAAAGGATATGTTTATTGTGTGTACCTTTAAGGCTCTGAAACGGATTACAAACCTTACATTAGGCATATCTGTAGGCCTCATGAAATCTGGTCAATAATTAAACATTGACCAAATGAATCTAAATTGAGGGTGGCTATGGAGGATGGAATGAGCAGCAGCAACAATTCTGACACCTGGGACTCAGACACTTGAGATTGCCATTCAGTGAGATTTGGCTGTGTATGGAATCATTCTGAGATCATGGGATAATTATGGTTTTAGATCCAAACAGACTTCAAATCCTAGCTCCTCTACTCACTAGCCTATTAAATATGAGCTTGTTAAACTATTTATCATGTGGGTATTTATGATAATTAACTCTAAAACATTGAAAAAGTTTAGTGATTATACACACAAATTAGAATGAAGAGATTGTGACCAAGTAAATACTTAATAAATGTAGATTCTTTTCACATTTTCAACCTGAGGGGGAGTGAAGTACATGATTAAGCTATTTTCCCAGTCTCAACTAACTCCTCTGTGCCTCAGTTTGCACTGCGACACCTCAATTTTAGCTCCATCTAAGAATCACACAGGAAACTTTAAAAGATATGTGTCTAAACACTACCCCTGGTATAGTTTTACTTTCTCTAGAGTTTCATTTAAGCTGAAGCATACATTATGTAGTCTTTTGTGTTTGACTTGTATCAGTTAGTTTAATGCCTGGGAGATTTATCCATGTGAAACCACAGAACACCAAAGAAAGCAATAGGATTTAATGACAGAAAAATTACAATTGCCTACAGAGGTATGGTTATTTGGCCAACAACAGATTTTTTCAAAGTAACAGTGATTCCAGAAGACTCAGAGTAATGACTTCAAAAGCCCAAGAAATATAATAACTAGTAAATGGAATTGTGTAGCTAGAAAAGTATAAAAACATGAGTGTGAAATGAAGAAAACTAGATGAACAGGTAACAGAGAAATTAGTACTAGGTAACTTACAAAGAAAATCTTGATGTATATCTTAAAGAAGGTAATTTAGTCAAGAAGGAGAGACTAGGGTGAAAAAATGGAAATTTCTAAATCTGGTAGTAAGTCTGAAATGGTAAATTGAAGATATGTGATATACCCTATTGATTTTATTTTTTATTATTTTTTTATTGTTGTTCAAGTACAGTTGTCTCCATTTTCCCCCCACCACTCCCCCCTACCCCAGCCATCCCCACCTCCCACCCTTGATCCTAACCCCCTTTGGTATTGTCCATGTGTCCTTTATACAGGTCCCTGAAAACCCTCCCCCTTTATCCTATTGATTTTAAATATCTCTTGTGTTTAGCCTCAGATGACTCTCCATAGTTTTCCTTTTTTTGTTTTGTTTTGTTTTTAGAAAACAATGTTTTAATATTTTGATGAAAAGATCCTACTTGGTAATACATCTGCCTTAATATGATGATTATTAACACATAGAATATATGTCTGGAGTAGTTACTTTCTGACAAAAATCACTAGCTCTCTACTAAAAGAAGATCTTGTTGAAGAAACCATACATTCTGAGATAGGTAATATAATGTTTGTTTGGTTATTACTCATCAATGAAAATCATTTAGTTCAGAGGGTTTGAAAAACTGAAACATTTAAGGAACCTGTCCCGTATCTTCTTGGTCCTTACCCCATAGATAATGGGGTTCACCATTGGTGGAACCAGAAGGTAGATGTTGGCCACAAATATGTGGACATGGGAAGGCACACTGTGCCCAAACCTGTGGGTGAGAAATGAGAAGAAGGCTGGAGTATAGGACACTAGGATTACACAGATATGGGAGCCACAGGTGCCCAAGGTCTTGAGTCGGGCATCCTTAGATGGAAGGTGGAAGACAGTGTGCAATATGAGGACATAAGAACAAACAATCAATATGAAGTCCACTCCTCCTGTAAGGAAGGCAACAATGAGGCTGTAGGCTCTGCGGATTCTTGTCTCAGCACAGGCAATCTTGATGAGGGCCATGAACTCACAGTAGGTGTGGGAAATTATATTGGTTCTGCAGTAGGGGAGCCAACGTAGCAGGAAAGGGTGAGGACTGAGAAGTACCATTCCCCGGAGGACAATAGCTAGACCCATCACCCCAATTACAGAATGTGTCAGAATAGCTGAGTGTCTTAATGGATTACAAATGGCCACACAACGGTCAAAAGCCATGGCTAGGAAGAAGCCAGACTCCATGGTGGAGCAAGAGTGAACCAGGAATACCTGAGTCAGGCAAGCTTCAAAGCGAATCTCTCCATCATGGAACCAGAAGAGGCTGAGAAGTTTAGGCACAGCTGTAGTACACACAATAACATCAGCCACAGCCAGCATGCAGAGGAAGAGGTACATTGGCTCATGGAGGCTGGAGTCTGTCTTGATGATAAACAGAAGAGAGCAGTTTCCCACTAAGGCCAGAAGGTAGACAGCACAAAAGGGGATGGAGATCCACATGTGAGCAGCCTCCAACCCAGGAATGCCAATAAGAATAAAAGTTGATGGATGGACATTGGTCTTATTGTATACTGACATAACCAGTCAGGTGTCAAATTTTCTCTTCCTGGATTTTTCTCTAAAGCAAATAAATCATAACTTAACTATTTTGAAACCACTTATGAGTTAAGAAATAAGCCAAAATTCAGGAATTGCAAATCATGGAGAAGTTATTTCATCACCTGAGTGTCAAATAGTATTTCAAGGTTGTAATATGCAATGTGACTTATGTATTGATGTTAAATGAGGAAAAGTATCTAGGTACCAAAGTTCAGAGTTAAATATATAAAAATCCAAAATCTTCCATCCAGAGGAAGATTTCTTCTTCCAGAGGAAATGGTTTGGATGAGTTAGTAAGAAAAGTGCAATTGTGAAACACAAAATAGAGTGTGACAGAAGGGGTATTTTGAATGGAAAAATAGGCTCTTTAAAAAAATAATTTTAGTAATAACAGTTTGGGGACATACTAACTTACAGGGAGTAGTTTTGAAACTGAAATACTAACATTTAGAGAATGTGTTGATTATTGGAGAATGACCAGAAAGAGGTTCATTCTCACTTACACATGGTTCATTTGGGATGAGAAAAGTGGGCCTGATGGCAGCATGTCAGGAAACAAACAGCACATTGCATTTGTCATCACTCTTCAGTGGCCCTGGGATTTACTCCTGACCTTAACAGGGAAACATTTCAATATTATTGTAGCCTATATTCTGAGCTCCCTTCACTTTCCTACATGTATCTAATTAGTCAAACAATTTTATGACTTGCTTTTCATTAAATGTACTCTACAAGTTTACTTCATCCAAACTTTCCTTTATAATGTTTCTTTTGTTCTGCATACTTCTACTGTACTAGCTGATTCCTACCCCAACCCCCATGCCACGATTTGTTGATTAAACTTGTTCCAATATAATCAGTACACCTAAGTGGCATACTTTGGGGTAGCATATTCTGCTCCCCTTCATATTCAAAATAATAGTCTAATAGTCGTATTAAGAAATAAGACTCCCACTTTGGCATATTATTTCAAGTTAATGTTATTTGAGAAATAGCCAGTGTAAAAAGGGCACTCTGACTCTCCTTTATCTCTCTGAAAGCAGGAGATATATCCATGTGTAGGCATCTTCCTGGACCAGGAGTATAAAAGTCAAAACTATCACCAGAAATAGGAAATTTAGTCTAAGAAGTCTGCATAAACAAAACTTGTTATTTCTTTATTAATTTACTACCCCAAATCCAGACCCCCTTATCTTGCCCCCTTATTTTCTGTACCCTTGTCTAAGAGATATAAAAACTTCCTATTTTAGTTACTTTTTTGAGTCTCATAGAAATAACCTCTGTATGTATGAAATTAAATTTGTTTTTTCTTTCTAATCTGTGTTATGTCAATTTAGTTATACACCAGCCATAGAACTTAGAAAAAAGGAAGACATTTTCCATCACCACAAAAGTCATACTGCTCCCCTAATACTTTGTTTTTCCTTTTCTCTTTGGAAACACAATTGATACTGTTCCTGAGACACTCTTTGTACTTTACCCACTAGTACAGATACTTGAGTATGATTATGGAGTCTTTGTCATCAGGAACAAATAATTCTAAATCACTGTCCATTGAAGTAGAGATTGGAATATAAACAGTTGACTGGGAATCAATGTTAATTATAATAGTGATACAGTATTGTCTCTTAATCGGTTGTTGAAGTTTCATCCCAAAGTTTTTGCTTTTGCCTATTTAGCCTCCAAGTTTCCTAAGGATAGATACTCTCTTTTGACATACGGAAATGTGGGTCAATGAGCTCTGGAAAGTCTATGTTATGGCATTTCTGGATCATGATGTAAATTGGGACATGGGGAATATAGAGAAACCAGATTATTGAGAATTTATGTAATAAAGTAATAGTTAAACATTTTTAAATGCTAATGTGAGTCAGTTGTTTTCCTGAGAATAATTCATATTTTAACTCATAAATTTATCTTCATTTTGAAATGCAGAGAATTTAAGTAACTTCCATGAGTTTAAACAACTGTTATATAATGCACCTTGTTTTTAGCTTCACACTGATTCTAGAGCACTTCCTCTTAACTGTAGTGATTAATTGCCCTAATGATGTGACAGTCTATTTGCATTTGTACATATAAATAAAAGGATAGGGATTGTTCCATATCTAGAATTAGAAAATATAAACACCATTTATTTAATTACAAATAATTATTGAATCCCTTCACTTTGCTTTCATGTATTTTTTTTTAGTCATCATATGAAGATGTGTGCCTCCTGGAGGTGCCTTGACCAGGGGTCGAACCTGTAACCTTTCTGGTGCGTAGGACAACACTCCAACAAACTGAACCACTTGATCTGGGAAAAGCCTCCCTGTTTTTAAAGTCCATAAAGGAACCTGTCCAAGTTTAAGAGTTTCTCTTTCTAATTAACTCTCTTTCAGTGTACTTCATCTCAAAAGATGAGAGTTACTATCTATGCATACCTTAGAGGGAAAATTAACATTTGTCACCAGATAAAAGCTCTCTCAGTCTTACACTGTTCTACCTTTAGGTTTATGTATATATACATTGAGCTAATACATTTTTATGCTTTCCTTTATTAGCCCTCAAATAAGCCTATATATCCTTTTATTTAAATCTGAGTGCCATCGACATTCTCATATTTCACCTGAACCACAACCTTCACTTTCTCCTTTTGCACAATTTCACTATACAATTTAAATATACTTTACTAATAGAAAATATGTGGGCGAATTATGTTGTGAAAATGTTCACACTGAAATAAATGCAAATGTCTCATTACATAAAGTAAATCTTATCCTTATTCACAAACAGAAAATTAAAAATTAAAAATGAATATAATACAATTTATACATTATAATACAATTCAACAGAACGTCAAGATTATGATAATGAACATTAGTAAACTATGGGTTAAAGAGCGAGTCTTGTGCACAACTGATTGGAGAAAATTGACAGAGAAAACTTAGAGAAAGACACTTAGAGAAAGATTGTTTAGTAACCATTATTATTAAATCAAAAAATGGGCAAATTTATTTAACTACTTGCCATCCTAGGGAATAATGCTCACATATACACATGGAAGTATATACAGTGATTCTTGTTGTAAAAGTGCCTATAATAGAATAGAAATTAAAACATTCAACATGTCCATTCATAAAGTAATACTAAATTTAAAAATCTGTGGTAATTTTTATTATGGACTAATCATAAACACTTAGAATAAATTGTAAATAAACTGACAAAGAAAAACATCTAAATAAAAAATAAAGCATAAGTTTGATTGTTTATTAACATTGAAACACCTGAAAAATTAAACATATATGCATGTCTGTATGCATATATATTTCAAAATGTGGTTATATAAATATATATTTTATATAATTTTATGTATTATATACTTATTTATGTTACCATATAGTAATTTTACATATACACATATATAGAGAGAGTATAATCACATATATATTTATAAAACCACACTTGTAAATACAGAAACAATCTGAAAGGACACATACCCAACTTAGGAGAGGTCTAAAATGTGGGATGGATGGAAAAGAATGCTGACAGCATAATTTAGCTATAATACTATGGTTTGAATTTTTTTTTTTACCAGTGCCAATGTATTCTATGTATTCATGTGTTACCTGTATAGTTTAGGGTAAGAAAATAAATAATTCAGAGTTACAATTGTATTCATCATAAAATGTTATAAACCAAGAAATTACATAGATTTGGGCTTCTATGTTTTCTAAAATATTAGGAATTTTTCTAACCTCTTGAAATACTTTTTCCTGTACTTGTTTGCATAGAGAACTGGTTACTTATTTAATTCAGTAAAGAGATGACATATCTTTGTCCTTCATGATATTTCTTCACACACAAAAATCCTCAGTAATTTGGTTAGAACTGAAGGTTCTATTCACATACTAGTTCCTCTGACATTATGTTCTAGCAACTTTTAACTATAATCACATACCTCTTTAGTTTCTCTATGGTCTGTGCACTTACCTGTCTTCTAGCTTTTGTCACATTGTATTTAATGTTGCTGCATATCTTTATCTTTACTATATTGCAAATTCTTACTTGTCAGAGGACATGTATTTTCATACATTTGCTGTTCCAATGAATGAAAAAAAGGAAAAAATATATAAGACATTGCTATTCATTTTCTGGTGAATAATTTTAATATGAATTTAAAAATGTAATCCCTATGAATGTATTACAGTCTACACTATCTCTGTACACTGTAGTACATTAACAGTTTCCTTAATTATAATATTACACCTCTCAGATCTACCCAGGGATCAGTCACCAACAAAATTGAACTCTGTCTGCATTTTGTTCCTTGTCTGACTACAGAATGGAGAAAAAGAGGGAAATGGAGTGAAGGAAATTCACATCTGCTTTTGGGGAGGAATAAACTGTGATATCTTCTGCTAAATTCTACATCTTTAGCCATCTCTTAATAAAAGTAAAATAAACTGCACTACTTGGTTTATATTAAGTACTACATTATTCACATTGAAGACTTATCCCATTTAGTCCTTAAGGGGGTTTTTGGATAGATAATCATACTTGTAACAGTTAAAAATAAGCTAAAAATGTTGACCTAAGTTTGCTAAAATTATTCTACTACAAATTCAAGGTTTACAAATTTGAAGCCAAGTATAATTACAAAGTTTGTAATCTTTACATCAACCCTGAAGTGATGAGTACTCTGTAGGGTTTTCCAAATATAAAATGACATAACACATGTAAAACTGCTTTGACCAGTATGAAACATTGCTCAAATATCATAGATTTGCTCAAAATCTAGGGTTGCTGCATCTATAGTACCATCCTTGTTTCATTGGCCTTCCTCTGATAATCTCCATACATTTATGATGCTGAGTAACCCATGCATCGATTATCAACAAAAGTCACAGCCTAATCTCAACCCATCACAGAGTGAAACACAGGTAGTCTATTCAGGGGTCACAAAACCAAATGGGTTCAGTTTCCCCAAGAAATCT